GACGCACACACAGGACTTTTAGGGCAGTGAAACTATTCTGTATGATACTGGAAACATGACATTATGCATTTGTCAAAACTCATAAAACTGTACAACACTAAGAGTGAGCCCTCATGTAAACTATGGACCTCAGTAATCATACATCAATATCGGTTTATCAATTATAACAAATGTACCACATGAATGCAGGATGTTAATAACAGGGGGAAACTGTGGGTGTGCGGGGGGGGGGTGTGGGAGTATATGGGAATTCTCTGTATCATCTGCTCGATTTTTCTCTAAATCTAAAACTGTTCTAAAAATAAATCTATTAATGAATTTTTTTTCTAATATGTAGTTCAAAGGAGAGGTCAAGATGAGGTGAGATTGTCAGAACAGTGTCAGTAAAGAAGCGAGACTTTAGCAGGGCCCTGAAGGGTACATAGGACTTCTAGAGTTGGGAAGGGCAGAGGGCATTTCCCGCTGGGATTACAGCATGAACAAAGACTCGAGGGCTAGAATTGCGAAGGAGCAGGAAATAACACAGAATAAACCAATGCAAAGCCAACTGGCAGCAATTTCATGGAAGCTAGGGGCCAAGGCAGAGCCAGAAGAGCTGAAGCATCATTCCAATATCGGATAAATATAGGCATGGGAGCCGACTTGACCCAAACCAGCTCCGCAACACTCATTCATTCATGCCCTCGATAAATATTTAGTAAGCACTTACTTATGTTCCAGACACTGTGCTAGGTGCTGGGGACACAGCAGTGAAGAAAACACTGTTTTAATGGAGCTCACATTCTAGTGAGGGGAGACAGAGCCTGCCTGGTGTATTCAAGAAACAGCTGGAAAGGAGAGGGTATGGAATGGAAGGGTAGAAGGCGAGATACAGGAAGTAACAAAGGTCAGAGGGTGTAGAGAACGGAGGCCAGAATAAATAAAGACTTTGCCTTTTACTCTGAGCTATTCAGGGATCATTGGAGGGTTTTTTGCCGTTTACTCTGAGCGATTTTGGAATGACTGGAGGGCTTTGAGTGCCAGAGTGACTTGATGGACACTTGAACAGGGTCACTCTGTCTTCTGTGTTGAGAATAGACAGAGGAGGACAAGAGTGGCTGCAGGGAGACCAGTGAGGAGGTTACTGCAGTAACCCAGGTGAGAGAGCATGGGGCTTGGACCAGGGTTTTAGCAGTGGAAGTGGTGTAAAATAGGTTCTGGACTCTGAAAAGATTTGCTGATGGATTTGCATCTGCAGAGTGTAAGAGAAAGAGAGTCCAAAAGGACTCCGTTTTAGGCCTGAGCTACTCACTGGGAGGAGGGGTTTGCCATTAACCGTGAGAAGGGAGAATATGGGAGAAGCAGACTCGGGGCAGGGCTTAGCCCAGTGTCTGAATTCAGTTGGGCTATCTTGAAAGCAACTGGTTTTTATCTTGAAAGGAAATTTCAAGAACTAGAGATCAGAGTGAGGCTGAGACACAGAGGCAAGTGGGCAAGACTAAGTCACAGTACATTTAGGTATAAGCATTTATTCATTCATTGAATATTTATTGGAACCAACTACTTTAATGTGCCAGAGACACGAAGATAAATAAGACATCTTTCCTGTCCTGAAGAAACTCACAGTCCATTGAGAGAAACAGAAATATAAACAAGCAATTCCAGTACATTTCACCATCACAGTTGAGCTATTCAACATTTACTGAGTCCTTGATTTATGCCAAGCAGTGTGATGAGGAAGCAGGCTGTTTGTACAAAGTTCTACAAGAACACACAAGAAATGTCCCCAAAGGTTCCTGAAGGCATTCACAAGACTTCATCACAGTGTGGCACTGGGGAGTTGGTAGTAACCTAAATGCTCATCACCAGGGAAATGTATAAGTCAAATCTATGGAATACTCAGCAGCAGGTAGAAGCAACAACCTAGGTGTACACCCAGCCAATGTGGAGATGGCTCAAAAACATAGTGTTGAGTGAGAAAAGTGGGAACCAGAGATTTACAGTCCAATAACATTTCTGTAAGTGTAAAAGGCATATAGAAAATACTGTGTGTCTTAAATTATCAAGTATCATAGCAAACGAATTGCAATGGGTGCCCAGAAGAATGAGAATAGGGATTTAGGGAGATGAGAAAAATAATATTAATATAAACAATATAAAATAACAAACACGAGAGGGGCCTTGAAGGGACTCGTGATGACAATGTGCTGAGAACTGAGGTGCAAAATTAACTCCACTCTCTGCACCTGAGGTAAAATAATTAGCTCATAGAAATCCAGCTGATGGTGTTAAGGGAAGGGTATTGCTGGGGGACAGGAAGCATGTGGCTTGTAGTAAAGGTGGTTGTGAAGGGCTGATATCTCGAAAGCACTGGGTAAACTGAGCAACACTCTACACGTGGAAGGTATAATCATTCTAATCTACATTGGGATTAAGCTAATACTCTGCTCTAGTCCAGCCTGTGGTGAGATTCTCTACTGGAGTCTTCGCGTCTTGTGACTCCTCCAGAGACTCTTCTAGTCCAAGGGGTCATTCCTGTTTACTAAGGCCTCAAGGAGTGTGGCCTCAGAGCCGCTGCCTTAAAGCTAGAACTCCACCAGCTCTGATGCTACTGCTGGGGGTGGTGTGGGAAGGAACCGGGCCCCAACAACACCTCTCATTCTGGGGCATCCGTCTGGGACATTTACCCCACTTACCCCAACTCAGTGCCACCCATCTACCAGTTAACACTCACCCCTCACATTCCAGGGGAGTCATTTCCCCTTCCCCAACCACACCCTCCTCACCCCAGACTGGGTCATGTCACCTCATTATAGGTGCACTTATTTGACAGCAATGGCTTTTTTGTTTGTTTGTTTGGTTATTCTTCATAGCCCTTACCACAGTTGCAACTCCACGTTTACTTTTCGGACAATTTGATTTATGTCCATCAATGGTAATGTGCTTGACTACTAATCGAAAGGTTAGCAATTCAAATCCATCCAAAGGTGCCACGGAAGAACGCAAACCAAAACTCGTTGCCGTCCAGTCGATTCTGACTCATAGCAACCCTAGAGGACAGAGTAGAACTGCCCCATAGGGTTTCCAAGGAGTGACTGGTGGATTCGAACTGCTAACCTTTTGGTTTGTGGCCAAGCTCTTAACCACTGCGCTACCAGGGCTCCCCATGGAAGAAAAGCCTGGAAATTTGCTTCCAAAAGGTCACAGCCTTGAGAACTCTATGGAACACAGTTCTACTCTGCAACACATGGGGCTGCCATGAGTTGCAGTCCCCTCAGTGGCAACCAGTTTGGTTTTTGGTTTTTAGTACTCTAGGTTTCAAGTTCAATGTTGGCAGTTTTGTTTTTGTTCACCAGTGTATTGCCAGCACAGTGCTTGGCACATGGTTATTGTTGTTACGTGCCCTCCAGTCAATTTTGACTCACAGCAACCCCATGTAACCAAGCAGAACTGCCCCATAGGGTTTTGACTGTAATCCTTACAAGAACTGATCATCAGGTCGTTCTCCTGAAGAGTCGAACCACCAAGTGGGTGTGAGCCGCTAACATTTTAGGTAGCAGCCTAGTGCTTAAGGTTGCACCACCAGGGCTCCTTTGGCACATGGTAAACAAAAAACCAAAACCATGGCGGTCCAACTGATTCCAACTCACAGCAACCCTATAGGTGCAGCGGTTAAGCGTTGGGCTACTAATCAAAAGGTCAGCAGTTCAAATCCACCAGCCCTCCTTGGAAACTCTATGGGGCAGTTCTACTCTGTCCTATAGGGTCACTATGAGCTATGGCACATGGTAGGCACTCAATAAACTTTTCAGTTGAATACAAGCGTTGCAGACAAAGGGAACACGGGCCCAGGCGGATACAGCATGGTGCAGAGACAGGAATAACATAGACTTGGGTTTTGTTTACTGCAGAGAGAAAAGCGAGTGAGTTGTAAGGAACGGGTCGTGCAAGGCCCCTGTAGACAGATCGCTTGCCTGCTACATACACGGCCACCCACTCTCTTGGTACAGGATGGCATACATAAGGGGCAGATATGAACTGTAGAGAAATTAACAAGTGCTTAACTTTTTTTAATACTTATATCAAGTAAAAGTATGAAACTGAATTGACGGGAAGGGAACATGTGGTCATTCCTGGGTCTGAGGAAAAGCTAAAATTTCCAGAGATGCCAACACAATCCATTGCCCCTCACGGGACTTGGGATGTTATCTCCCGCTCTGTCTAGAATGGCATGTTGGGGGTGGGCACTCCTCTACCTGTCTGCCTCTAAGGGTCACACAAGCCTGGGTGAACGGGTTGCCACTGTTGCTAAAGTCTCCTCCAATCGAACTCACCTCTATCCTTATCCCCCACTCCACCCCCAGCTCAACAAGCCTCCGCTCTGCTTTAAAAAAAACAAAAACAAAATAAAACACCACCTCCCACCGCGGGCAGCCTGGCCTCAGATGACTGAACGCAGGCGATCGCTACGGGAGGTCCTTTCCCACGCCTCCTCTCACCCCGCTCCAGAGACAGGCGCCCTGGTCATCGGTGGACGAAGCGAAGCGGCGCGACACATCGCCGCCCTTCCCGCCTTCCCGCGCTCCGTCATCCCCCGCTCACGCCAAGCCAGCGCGCCCAGCGTCGGCCTGGCACCCCACTCGGTTTCCCAAAGCGCGCATGCGCGCGCTCCGGGGTCCGCGCGGAAGGAAAGGGCGGGGCCGGGAGGCCGAGCCCGCGGGGGGAGGGGCGGCGCGGGTCACGTGACGCGGCTTCACTGTTTACACGCGGAGCGGCCCGGCGTTCAGCGTTCGGCCTCAGTCAGGCGCTCGGCTCCGTTTCGGTTTCACTTCCGGTGAGGGGCCGCTTTGGAGCGGGCGGCGAGCCGACGGCGAGCGCAGGCGGCGGTG